TGTGTGTGTGTGTGTGTGAGCACAGAGGAGGAAACGCGAGGAGAAAGATGAGCAGGAGGAGTTTTCCTGTTGACCTTTCCTGCTGTTTCAGGAATATTTGCGTTCTCACAGGACGTGGAGGAAGTGCAGAAACCACGATCGCTGCTGAAAATAACCGTGATTAACCCAAATCCACCGCAGCGTTCACCTCGATGTGAGCGCTGACACGCCGCTCCACAACAGCCAATCACTGCCTGCCGTTCGGTGTGTCCTTCAGCTGTTGTCACGGAGACGCAGCAGGGCATCCGCTGTCTCTGTGCAGGTATCTGAGGAACCGCGGCGTGTTTCAGGGTCCTCAAGATGAGTCTGAAAAATATCTAAAATAATTAAACCATGCATTGAAAAAAAAATGTAAACTGAAATTTAATCCATTTATAATGTGACAATGTATATTGTAATACAAAACAATAAATGATTACAAATAATTAACAAATTTCCCCTCATTAACTGTTGTTTCTAATTGAATGACAAAGAATTCTTAAAACCAAGGGGAAATTCTTTTTTTTATTTAATAATTTATTAATAATATATTAAAACAGTCAAATTCTAAATTAAAATGCAAAAACCGCAATCAAGATTTTTCAAGACAGAAATGTATTTAATATGCTATATATTATTTAATAATTCTATTTACGACTGTAATAATATTATTGTTCTTTAATTAATTAATAATTATTTTTCCTCCTCAATAGCTGTTTGTTTAATTATTGTTAATCTATTAAAATCGTCAAACACTTTCCCCCCACAGTAACTGCTGTTAATTGAAAAACACAGTTCTTGAAACTCAGTAAGTCACAAAATGAATCACGGTTGCTATAATATTACATAATATATCAATACTCCCAGGTTCTATTAATAAAAAGGTTTAGTATGTTGGGCAAAAAGCTTGAGAACCACTGGATTAAACCATTAACAAGGCCTTTAGAATTTCTTTATTTTTGTTTTCTGTATTTTCCACATGTTCTAACTTCTTTGTTTAACACGTACTAACAGATTTTTCCTCCTC